GAGTAGATAATTTTTTTATATAATTTTTAAAATAAGTGTTATATATTATTATTTTAATTTTTTATTTTGTTAAGATTTATAATAATATATATTTATTAATTTATTAAAAAGTAAAAGTTCTAAAAAATTATATAAAAAAATTATTCACATTTCACTTGTAGTATATAGATAATATATATTTTTGTTTTGAGATTGTATTTTATTTTGGAGCATTCTTTATACTACTTAATAATATATTTTTTATTTTGTTTTTTATAAAAAAATAAACTTAATTTCATTTTTTAATATTTATATATAAAATCTAAATAAATATTTAACTATTTATATAAATAACATTTGAAATATTTTTTCTTCTTATATGAAAATTTTATTGAGTATTTTTATTTGATAAAAAAATTTAATTATTATTTATATAATATATTAAAATTTATATTTAAAAAATTAAAAAATAAATTAAATTTATTAAAAATGAAAGAAAAGAATATTCAATTATTGAGATGAATGAAATCCCGTTTAGTAAGGCTGTTATTGTTGTTCGTTTTTGGTTTTTATTAACAAATTTTAAATGACAATCAATTCAAATAAAAAATTAAATAACTACGTAAAAATATTTTAATTTTAGTTACAAAATAAGTTTTAAAATTTCATATTATTTAACAAGTGATTAATTTTAATTTTTAATTATAAATTTTAATAGTTTAAAACCAAAACGATATTATTAAACGGCCCTAAATCATTGTATAATATGCGCAAAATATTGATTGGGATAACTGATGTTGCCTTTTTTTTTTTTTTTTAAGCCTCTTTTTTTTTGAAAAAAATTGATTGGTATAAATGGAAGGACTGTGACTGTGAGCAGATGGTGGGGTTGGAAGACCAAAAGTGTAACTCCCGAATTTCTTATCATTGAAGAATTGTGAATGGTTATGATATATATATATATATATATACACCCACATACATACACGTGTGTGGAGATCAATTACTTGTTAAAAACTTGAGTTTAAGCTTTTGAAGAGAAAAGGTGTAAATAAATATATTAATTTTGTATTTTTTTTCTATTTAAGAATATTAATTTTATTAATTTCTAAATAAAAATGTTAACTTTTAACTTTTTTTATTTAATGATGTCAACTGTCAACATTCATGTCTATTTGCCACGCTAGCATTATTGTTTAATTAATTCTTAAATTAAAAAAATTAAAAGTTGGTATCCTTAAATAGAAAATGTTTTAAATAGAAAATGTTGAAAGTTAATATCCTTAAATAAAAAATATTAAAAGTTAGTATCCTTATTTAAAAACTAGTAAAATTAACATCTTCAAATAAAAGAAAAATGCAAAGTTAACATCCTTAGTTATACCTTTCTCAGCTTTCTAAAATCTATAGATCTTGATTTAAAGAGTTGTTAGGTTAGTGGTTAGTGGTTAGTTTTGGCTTGGGTCATTTTAGTTGATATTAGAGTGGTCACCTCATCTAAGTATGTGCTTATGCTGACCATCATGATTGATGGTAATGTGAATCTCATATTATTTGACGTGAATCCTATATTTGTTCTTGATAAGAGTATCAAGCGTTTTAAGTGGAGAGATTGTAACACCTTGAATATGTAGGGAATTGTTTGGTTCAGCTCATTTCAAAAAAAGTATAAATTCAAACTTTTGTTATAGTCGTGTGAAAGCCACTTTAAGTAATAATGCTTTGTTTGGCAATACTTCTTCGGTTGCCTTAGTTTTTATTTTAACTAATGATAAATGATATCAAAATCTGGGATCAATGACCGTATTATAAGTTATGTTATTTAAAATATTAAAAAATAAATCTTACGTTATTTAATGATGAGATTCGTAATATTGTATGTATTAACTAATCCAATGACATAGCATCATTGGTCCCAAATTTTTGTTCCCCTATCATGACTCTTTTATTTTTTATGTCTTTTTTTCTCTATTCTAAAAATATATAAAATGTTAATTAAAATAAATATTAAAGAGATTGATGTTTGTCAGTTGGGAAAACAAATATCTCAAAACTATATTGTTTTACTAAAATATCATGAGAAAAGACTAAAATAAACTTAATTTTGATTTAAAAATAGATTATTTTAGTCATTCTCAATGAAAGTTTATTAAAACAACCTAATTTTGAGGTTTTTTTTACTAATTTCTTGGAGGTCTAATTGACAAATACTTTTTTATTATTAAATATATTAAAAATATATGTTATATATTTTTAGATTTTTTTATGGAATATATATTTTTAGATATTAAGAAATTAAAAAATCTACAGTTAAAATTACAATACAGCACTCTCAAATTAAGCCTAAGATTGGATTGGTATAATTGAGACATGTGCTTAAAAATTTTATAATAACTAATATTTGAACATACGATGAAATTAATGGGTCTAAGACTGCCTTTACTATAATGCCAAAGCTTGGTTTGCAGTAATATTTTGGTTTTTTTTTTTTTTTTTGGATGCAGAGAGTACCATTTGGAGTTAATTTACGGGATGAACAACTAAATTTTTAATCACTTAATCTGAGGCTCATTAACTATGCTGGATTAATTTTGGGTTCATACATGTGAGCTGTGGGAATTTCTTGTCAAGGGTTTATATATAGTTTAAAATTTTGAGTTGTATTGTTCATCAAAAAAAAAAAAATCGTTTTTTGAGTTGTATGTATTAAAAATGAAAATTGAGTTGTACTATAAGTTCTATGGTTTGTTCAAAAGAAAAACATGAGTTGTAATTTTGGGTTTTATGAAGCCTAGTCTCCATGGACTATAGACATTTAGAAACCGAGCACAAAGGTTTACTGGGCCAAAGTTCTATGTAGCCGCCAGGATTTAAGTCTACTGGGCCGCATCTCTCACCATCATATATATTCGTTGTAAGAGATAGGAGAAAAAACCTAAGCCCCACACTTCTTAACAGGTGAATTATTTTTAGAAGGGCAATTGCCATATGAGTTCCCTGCAAAACAGGAATGGTTTCGATGGGGGACACTCCCAAAATCAGGGGTTCATTTCTCATTCAATAGTTTTTATTTTACAATTTGGACCGCTTTAGACCGTATAATAATTTTATGTTGCCATATTTCATCCAAGGATTGAAGCTTAGATGGTTTTTGCATCAACTGAGTCTTGCTGAGATGCATCGTCTCCTAAGGTAAAAGAAATCACACATTCCGTTTAAGCACTTGTATCTGTTATAGCAATACCCTTAATTTCTATGGCTTAAGTTTGCAAATAAGATAAATTTCACATTTCCAGTGGAAGATTCATCTATCAATCTTAAATCTTAGGTGAGGTTTGATTTCACATAAAGGGCTATATATAGATTCATTTTCAAGTTTCTTTTATTTTTATTCTTAGAAAAGTATTTTTTAGGTTGATAGGTAAGAAAAAAATACAGAATACCATTGAAATAATTTAAATACCATTAATAAATCTTTCATAGATGTTAATTTATTAAAGATATTTAATTAATTTTATGGGTATTTCTAAAC